GTGTTCGCACAGTGAAATGAGTGAGCATTCTAGTACGTATTTTTAAAAATATTTTCGACTCCAGTGGTGGACAGCTCAGTGTCTCTCTCCCTAGTTATTGTTGTGTATCTCAAACTGTCCAAGAGCAGCTATTAGTGTGTGAGAGAAGTGAGTAGGAAGTGGCAACATCCATCCATCAATGCTCAGCAAGTCTGAGACTTTTGCACTCTTCTTCTTGTTGAATGATCCTTTCAGGAATATGGTACTTTAGGATATTGGAGTAAAATTTCATGCATGTCGATTGTGGATGGGATCACTGGCATAGCGTGGCAGGGTACAAGGGCAGTTGCCAGAGGTGAAAATAGTTAGGGGGCGTAATTTCGACACTCTCAATACAGCTGTGCACTTCCATCACTGGCCTCCATTGAAAATGGCTTTTCCATGTGAACCAGGAAGTGACTTCTCCAGACAAAGGGATGACTCTTCTTTTATGACCTCCTGGGTGACACAGGCACTTGAATGCACATGTGTTCTCCATCTGTTTCCCTCCTACCCACCCCCACCCCTCCATGTGGCCCCGGGCACTGGCAACCCATGCTACACCACTGGATGATATTAAAATTAGGGTCAAACTAGATGTGATGTTAAATGCATCATTAGAAACTACACCGTGCTCTTTGAAAATGGAGGGTGCCCAAGTTTATTATTTTTTAATTTTTTTGAAAAAACTGATATCGTTTCTAATGATGCATTTAGAATTATTTAACCTTGGTAGTCACACATTGGTCTAGGTGGACTTGTGGAATTTAGGGCTCATGCTCTAAATTCTTTTACTCTGTACTTTCCAGGCACAGGTCTGCACTTTAAAACTCTATATCTGAACACTCTTTCTCCCCCCCCTTTTTTTGCCCTGGAGCTTTCCCAGCGAAAGTCTGCTCTTTAAAGCTGAAGCACAAGAGTGGCAATTTACCTTTTCGTGGACTGCTGTTTGCTCCGATTCAGCTTTAAAGGGTGGGTTTTCACGGGGAAAGCTCTGGAGCAGAAAAAAGAGCGCTTGGACATGGAACATTAAAATGCGGACTGTGCCTTGAAAGCATGGAGGAAAGGTAAGTGTGGATAAGCCCTTAATCGGAACAAATGGCAATTGGGGTTTTCTGTGGATTGTCGTTTGCTCCAATTTAGGGGTAAGAAGCAGGTCTTTGCAAGGAAAGCACCAGGGCAAAAAGGGGAAAGTGCTCAGACACGCTGCTTTAAAGTGTGAAGCTGTGCCTAGAAGCACAAAAGGAAGTCTGGATGATCCCCCAGGGTAGCTTTTCTGGACCAAATAATATGCACCGTCCAATAATGCTCTGAGCAGGAGCCACAGTGATGTCCTCCGAAATTTAACTGTTGAGTCATGCTGGAGATAGTTTGATAGAGGCATTATTGTCCATGCTGTGCAGTAGACATTCATCATTCCACTTCTGCGTCTGATCAAACAGATCTTGCCGGGGTTTTGTAGTCCTGTGAAATACTAGGACAAACAAAATGATTGTGGCCATTATGGAACACAATGGTTCTGTTGCCATTCCTTTATCACCACCATGGGAACAATGCCCTTATCTGTGATTCTGCCTCTCAACTCCCCCCCCCCCCCGTGTGTGTGTGTGTGTGTGTGTGTGTGTGTGATGAAAAGCAGCTGAGGAAGCGAGGAGCTAGAAAAACCTTGTTCTTTCCTATTGTTTGGTCTACTCAAGCTCACTCCCAACCTGCTTTTCCCCCAACAGAGCAAAGGAATACAGGGTTTATGTGCCAGAAAAGCACCTTTGGGTATAATTTGAAGCAGACAAATGGCAGGAAGTGAGTGTTAAGCTGGGCCAGCCTTCGGGGCGAGAGAGCTGGGCAGTGTCTGAACTCACAGTCTGTGGGGCTTCCCCTTGCTCCCCTTTTCTTTTGAATATACTGTCTGCAGTGTGGTAGCATTGGAAAAATAAAATGTCTGCAACCTTTTCCCACAAGTTGTTTCTGGCTACAAAAAATGATCCTCCTTCAGTTAGCTTTAAAGTACATGTTTTCCCCCTCAGTTTTCACTTTGATGTCATATGTGGTGGGTAAATAGGAGTGCAACACAGCTTTCCTTTGAGGCAATGTTACCAAACATTTAGCACTTGAAATACTATAAGCACTATATAAATAAAATAAATCTCTAACAGGTCAACTGGATGCCTTTTTTATTTAGAACGTTTCTTTATTATTTTTAAATCCATTTTAAAAATGGATATTCTAAAATAATAATAATAAATGCTTAGCAAAAGATAGAAACTGCTACAGACAAAAAAAGTCAAGGAAGGCAGTTGCTAGGCTCGACCATATGGTAACTACAGCTCTGTATTTTGGAGAAATTGTGATTTTCAAAGTTAAAACAAAAGCAACAAGGGAAAGTGACTGAAGAAGAGCCTGCTGTTAGTTATATGTGAGTGGTATCTCCTGATCTGGACCATATGCAGGATATGAATCAACTCTCACACCAAGAAAGGAGTTCCAAAATTTTACTGCAAACTGTCTTTCAACTTACCACATACACACACAAAACCCAAATTCAAATGTAAATACAAATCAACGCTTCACTCTTGAACAGCTAGCAATGCCATCCAGTTTTCTTTTCTGGTTCCAGAGAGAGGCTCAGATAAGCAATTTGCTTCTCCAATATGCTGGCAGCTTCTGCAAGAGACCCAGACTCTCAGGGATGAGTCACCAATTCACAGAAACATGGAAGCAAAGGCTCGAACCCCCTTGTTGCAGCTTTAGCTGTAAAAGCACCCCCTTTTCACGCTTGCTGCAGTTCTCTGCAAAACAGACACTGCACAAATGCAAACCTCCACTAAGTTTCCTACACAGTGCACATGAACATAGCATTTCCCACTGGCCATCTGTGGTGAGTGGCTGCCACCCAAAAGTCCCATTGGAGAGACAGTTTCTGCGGCAGTTGTGAGTTGAGGACCTGCCACCCACATAGGATTATAGTAAGACACAAAGACACAATATTTTAGGTTAATGGGCAGAATTAGGCCACAACTTTTATTGGTTACAGCATGTGAGTAGTATTGGCTTAGGCATTGGATGAAACAGCAATACAAGACTCCACCCTGCACAGCCGGGAGTCATATCAGGGTTAACAACCAATGGGAGGAGCTTGTTGATGCAAATACAACTGGAAGCTCCCCCATGATGTTGCCATGGCCCTAGCCACCAGCAGGATTTCTTTAACGGAATACCCAAAAGAGGAGGGGTAGATGATGGCCTATACCCCATCCTCTAACACAGCACACATATTCCAGTGCCTAACCGCCAATACCAGAATGTTGTGACGAATTGCTACGAGGTAGGTGAAAAAACCAAGAGGCTGGTGCCAATTTGCCAAATGGATAAAAAAAGTCCTACCAGTCCCCTTGGGCAACCAAGGCAACCAACTGAAGTCCATAGCAAGGTCAATATGCAAAAGAAGCTGACCTAAAAGGGAGAGAGGATGGGAGATCTGAAGCAAGCAGGAACAGACTGGGAACTGAGCGCTGCCATGGCTGTTTAAATGGGGCTAGCCCCACCCACCAGCCAACCCTATCGGTTGGCTGGAAGGCTTGGCCACGGCAGCAGAGGCAGTCAGGAGCAGGGAGCTGAGCACGCCTCCCTGCTCCTGCGGGAAGCTGCTCCCGCTCACAACCCCTCCCCTCTGGGAGGAGGAGAGGCCTTCCCAAAGGAAAAGGTGCAGGTGTTGGGTAGGAGGCCAGCCCTTGAGGGAGGGAGGCTTCCTTTCTGCGTGGTGCAGGAGAAGGTGCCAAGCAGCCAAAACCTGCAAGGCTGAATCCCAGGAAGCAGAAATCAATTCTGAAGCTGGAGGAGGTGATCAGGAGAAGAACAGCCTGGTCCCTATTGCCATTCCCCATGAAAGAAGAAATGAAACGTATCCATTGATCTGCTTGCTCCCAGGGCAAGGAGGCGCTGTGGGTGAGGATTTGTAGTGTGTGGGCGCAGAGATCCACATATGTGGGATAAGTTTTGTACACACATGTCGGCGGCCTCGTAAGGAGCAGCGCGTTGGCTCTGGGGTTGAGCATCCCTTTTGAACCCCTCTTGCTTCCAGCCTCTCTTTCTTTTTTAAAGTATTTTTTTAGGGGGGGGGTTGAGATGCCTGCTCTTTATTGTGCAGCTCTCAATACTTTACATGGAGAGAAGATGCAGGTTAATGATAAATTGTAAGCAGAAACCACAGAGGCCCCAAAACAAACAGCAATCCTGTCCCTGACTGTGGCTCGGGGGATCAAAGGGCACTCTGCACATGCTCAGCAGCACTCTTCAGCAATGCACGAAAGATTCAGGGCCATCAAACGTTCAGGGCCAAACAGAAGCTTCTGCCTTCAGGCTTCACACTGAACAGTGGGGCTGGTTTGCTTCTTCTAGTAGTGAAAGTGATCCAGCCACATTGGTGGGGTATAACAGGAGGGCCTGTTACAGCCACTTGGATCTGGGATCATAGTGCAAATTCAAATTTGTTTTCTTTTACATTTTAGATTGGAATGAATTGATGTGTTAGTGTCTGGGGCTGGGATATCATTTGGGAGAGATGTCTGTCCAAATACATTGGTGTTTTTTTTTAACAAGTCCCAAGGCTGATCCCTGGTAGGTCTTCTTCTAAGCAGCACCTGCAGTGCTGAATTTCATCCCTCACTGAGATGTGTGACCATGCAGTGTCCACATAGCTGAGCACTGAGGTGCAAAATTTGCAGGTGCGTGGGCTGAGCAGTGTGCCACTGCACAAACACACACACACTCCCAGCACACTGAGTTATATTTAACTTCCTCACTCATTGTGGCTGATTCTCATCTTTTTCAAGCTGTTGACAGAGATAGGAAGTGCAGAGAGATGCAGTTTCAGTAAGGCAGGAGACGAACTCCAGGAATGTGGTCCGGATTCTTGTCTTCTAAAGAAGACTCCAGAAGAGAGCTGTTGCACTCTGTGTTACAAATGAGCAACTGTTAGAATTGTGCCCATATCTTCACGACACATGATATGATCTTTGCAAGCCCAGGGGCATCTGCGCATCAAACTTGTTGCTGGCACTCTGCGCTATCACCATTCATGTGCTGTCCTCACTCTGGACTGCCTCCCACAAAGCTTGTTTATATGGCCAAGAAGAAGGGAAACGGTCTGCGGCACCTGACATTTTCCATCTCAAATCACTCACAGTCAGTACCAGTAATTAAACACTGAGCTGCTGCCCGTGGCCTGTGCCAGCCAGCTGAGGAGAAGCAAAATGGCTCACTTTCTAGAGTCCCATCACCTGCCAGTGGGAGCTACCTCTGGCTTCGTGGCCAGGGACTTAGCTAGTCCCCTCTTCCTAACAACGGCATCCGCACCAGTGTTGTCGGTGCAATCCAAAGCAGAGCCTGTGAAGAAATGAATACCGATTTCCACATATGTATGTATGTATGTATGTATGTATGTATGTATGTATTTACCAACCAACCAACCAACCAACCAACCACCCAACCACCTGTCCACAGGGTGGCTTACAATATAAATTCATAAAATACATGACATAACAACAGCAGCAACAAAAACATTCCCTGACACATTTAAAGGGCCACAGATTGTTTAATCAGTCAAAGGCCTAGGAGAAGATGCATAGGTAGGCAAACTAAGGCCCGTGGGCCAGATCCGGCCCAATTGCCTTCTAAATCTGGCCCACGGACAGTCCAGGAATCAGCATGTTTTTACATGAGTAGAATGTGTCCTTTTATTTAAAATGCAGCTCTGGGTTATTTGTGGGGCATAGGAATTTGTTCACCCCCCAAAAAAAAATATATAGTCCAGCCCCCCACAAAGTCTGAGGGACAGTGGACCGGCCCCCTGCTGAGAAAGTTTGCTAACACCACCATATGAAGAGGTTAAAGAATATGTAAATGATTGGTTGCACTATCGTCAAGTCAATGAAATATATAAAGAGGATTTAAAGGAAAAAGGATTTGATGATAAAAAAAATCAAAATTTGAAATAGAAATATTAAACAATGAATGTAAAATAATGTCTAAAATGTATAAAATATTGTTGGAATGGCATTTGAAAGACGAGGATGTGAAATCGGTAATGATACATTGGGCAAAAGACTTTGGATATAATATACAGCTTGAAGAATGGGAAAGGTTGTGGAAGGAAAGGATAAAATTTACAGCCTGTAATGCTTTGAAAGAGAATATGACGAAAATGATGTATAGATGGTATATTACACCAGTGAAATTAGCTAAAATGTATAAGACAAATAATAAATGTTGGAAATGTAAAGAAAAAGAAGGAACATTTTATCATATGTGGTGGGAATGTAAAAAAGTAAAGAACTTCTGGGAAATGATATATAATGAGATGAAAAAGATGTTGAAATATACATTCTTAAAAAAACCAGAAGCATTTTTACTTGGTATTATAGGTCAGGACATTAATAAGCAAGATGTTAAATTGTTTTTATATGCAACAACTGCGGCAAGAGTATTATTAGCTCAGAAATAGAAACAAGAAGAAATTCTGATGAAAGAAGAATGGCAGACGAAATTAATGGACTATGCAGAATTGGACAAAATGACAAGAAGGATTCGAAATAAAAATAACACTTCCCAGAGTACAGTAGTGGCAGCAGAGGCAAGTGATTCCATGATGTCCCACTCAAAGTGAGATTGTTGGGTGGTATGGAAATCTGGCAACCAAAATGATCAAGGGTCTGGAAACCAAGCCTTACAAGGAACGGTTGAAGGAACTGGGGTGTGTTTAGTCTGGAAAAGAGGAGACTGAGAGGAAATAGGATAGCCATCTTCAAATATCTCAAGAGCTGTCCCATGGAAGATGGAGCAGGATTGTTTTCTCCCGCTCTGGAGGGTAGGACTCGAACCAATGGCTTCAAATTCCAAGTAAACATCAGGAAGAACTTTCTGACAGTAAGAGCTGTTCAAGAGCGGCATGGACTTCCTTGGAAGGTGGAGTACTCACCTTCCTTCGTGGTTTTTAAGCAGAGATTGGATGGCCATCTGTCAAGGATGCTTTAGTTGAGATTATTACATTGCAGGGGGTTGGACCAGATAACCCCTGGGGTTCCTTTAACTCTATGATTCTATGATTCCTATGTACAGTGGTACCTTGGGTTACATACGCTTCAGGTTACATACGCTTCAGGTTACAGACTCCGCTAACCCAGAAATGGTGCTTCAGGTTAAGAACTTTGCTTCAGGATGAGAACAGAAATCATGCTCTGGCGGCGCGGCGGCAGCAGGAGGCCCCATTAGCTAAAGTGGTGCTTCAGGTTAAGAACAGTTTCAGGTTAAGAACGGACCTTCGGAACGAATTAAGTACTTAACCCAAGGTACCACTGTATACCACAGATCAGGAAGGTACCACCAGGGTTAAGGTGATGTAGGTTTTTGTTTAGCTAATAGCTAAAATGATTTAGCTTGTGGTGATTGGTGGGGCAGCTTGGGTAAGAGTAAAATAAAAATGAAGACAACTCAGTAGATGGACTGTAGCAGCAAGGCAGAAGAGGCCGGGCCTGGATCTCCCAAGAAATGCTGTTTGCTTTTGAGGAAGTTGTTGCTGAATTAAAGATCAGCGCTCTGTGCTTGCCTCCTTCCCCCAGGCTCAACTTGTACCTTTATAAATAAGCATATGTCTCTGGTGCTATCTCCTCACAAGGGAAATGATCCTGAAAAAGGCTGACCCTGGAGCTTCCAGTAGCAGTAGCAATACTGAGGAGGATGTAAAGGAATTCATTCTCTCTCCCATACTATTGGTATCCTTCTTTCCCAGCCCTGTCTGTATTTTGGAAAAGTTGGTTTTGCTGAATTTCCCATATTCAGAATGAACGGGACTAACAAGCATATTCTGAAGCAAGAAAGATATTGTAAAGCAAGAGTCTCCCTTTGGAGGAGTTGATGCCTTTGCCCTGTTGATGAATGCTAAAGGCAGCCCTGAAGCCCACCTAAGCATGTTGGTCACTGACCTCCCCTCCCCTCTCTCCTGTTGTGACTCTTGTTTCCTTGGCAGCCGAGGCTGGTATTATGGGCAGTGACATTGTTCCTGTGCCTGGGTTTACCTGAGCACATCACGAGGCACAGTGAAGTCCATAACTACCTACCACAAGGTCAAAAGGAGCCCATTATAGAGATACTGTGTCCAGCAGCACAAGGCTACAGGAAGGAGCAGCTGGCTAGGCAGCTTGCACAAACACTTTAACAAGATGTTAGAAAATCAATTCCAATAACTGAGACCTTAAACCTGGAGAGTATTAGAGCTTTATTGGCTGCCCTAACATATTCATAGCCGCAGCCTCACACAGGCACACAACACCTGCCCTCCCTTTCTCCCTTGGCGCTAAGGCCAGGCAACAATTTCTTCTTTTGAGACTATGTTGGAGCTGAGCTGAATTAGTATAGCCAGTCTGTGGTTTGGAAACCCCCAGAATGTTGAATTTGGTGGTGGCCCTTTTCCATCAGTAGAAGGTCTGCTCCCTAATCCTTTGTCTGCTAACATTGAGGCAGAAAGCCCAGGGGAGAGAAAGTGTTCTTGCTTTGGTGGGAAAAGCTGGCTGCTCTTTGTTGCATTCGAATCTGCATTATTAAAGCCCTCATATGGCCTGGAGGCTTCAGGACATGGAAAGAAGATACCTGCTGCTTGCAGTTATTGCGCCCTGCCTCATCCCGCCCAGGTGCTCAGTCTGGAAGCATTTTCAGTCTGGAAGAAGAGCACAGATGGGCTAGTCTACTGGGACAGCGAGTGGGTGGTGCTGATGACAAGCAGAACGAGGATAGCCAAGGAAAGCCAAGCGCCTAAGCACCTGCTAAATACCAAAGCATTAATGCCAATGTGCCATCCAGTCTGCAGCTAGCCCAGCATGTCCAACTTAGGTGCAGCATCTCTGAGAGTTTTATATTTTCAGGGTGCTTTGGTGCACAGACTGAAGGTACGGTGCTAAATCCACCCAGACTCATCTTGGATGTACAGCTGAAGTTGGGCTGATCTGTGTGTGGAGGCCAGTATCAAGCTCTGACCTGTAATGGCCTTTCGAGGGGAGAGAAGGAGCTCTTCTGTGTCTTTCTTGGGACCTTCTCAGTCTCCTCTTCTGAAAGGCTTCTCCAGGGCTCTCTCTGTGTGTGGATGACATGATTCAGATCCATTCAACATGGCATGGCCATGGCCAAATCCCTTTCAGTGCTTTTGAATACACAATAGATGCATTATGACATATGTGGTGCTTTGCTTTTTGGCCTTGGGTGCAATTATTAGTCAACTCCCTGGTAAAGCTGTACGTTGGGAGAATAATCGAGTGAAGTAGCTACAGCCTTTTGTGTCTTCTTGCATAGGTGAAGAATGTGTCATACCTAGATTATGGGCCTTCCCAGTGGACAGAAGTGGTGTCCTGGGGCTATTGGTCGTCAGGTTATTGCAAAGGCTCCAAGTCATCTTCCCAAAGCAAGGGCTTAAATTCCTGGGAAGCTGAATTTGTATTGTTACCTGTTCCATCTTGAAAAGAAAAATACCCCATCACTTCAGAGTGCATTTCCCCCACTTGGTTTGTTTGCTTTTTGCTAGTTCACATTATGTTTCCCAAGCACTCAAAAGCATAACCCAAGGTTGCAGTTTAAATACAGTTCCTTCAGCAGTTAGCTCCTCCATTGCCATGTTGGGGGGGGTTAGTTGCTTGTATGACCCACTAATGATGATGAATGTTCTCCCCCCCCCCAATAACTGTGCAATTGGCACGGGAGGCATTTTAAAAGGGTGAGCACTTCCCAACTGCATTGTCTGAGCTTCACTTTTTAAAGTGGAAAACTCAGGAAAGATTGTCTCCTTCCTCCCAGCCTTAAGGATGTGTTCTCAAGTGCATCATCAGGCTTTTAAAAGAGAGAGAGAAACAAATTGATTCCCCTTAACCTGCTCTTGCCACCCTAAATTAGACAACTGCTTTCTGTAATATTTTGCTTGTTTTCCTAGATACTGAAATCCCTTTTGATGCATCCACAGCTCACAGCCACACGGGTTTTATATTTTCGGATAGGTGGGATCAATTCTTATATGGTTGTTCTTTCTTCCCAGCAGTGCTAGGTGCAACCTGAAACCTTCAGAGCCCCTATCAGAGCCTCGCTTGAATGTCTGCTACCTTCTCCCATGTTCCATCTTGAGACTGAGACCAAATGAAGATCTTGTGGCTTCACTATCAGACAACTTCCCTCCCTCCGACTTGGCTTCTTATGTAGCCTGATGAAAAATCTGGAGAATTCAAAATCTTGCAGACAATTTTGTGACATTCTGGTTGGCCTAAATAAAGATATTGCTCTGGTATGGATTTTGAAATCAATATTCATGTTGCTTGGAAAAAAGCATTCTATGACTGAATACAGTGTCGTAGCTGGGTGTGTGTGTGTCCAGTCAGGGTTTCTGGCCCGGGTGAAGCCTCCAGAGGGGCGCCATTGAGGCTCCCAGCCTCCCAGCATGTCTGGGCTTCAGCTGGAGAGAAAGATGAAAAAGTGAACGGCAGCCGCAAGCTCCGTCCCTTCCCCTTTCCCCTTTCCCCTTTCCCCATGAAGCATTTACAATGCGATGCAGGGAGAGGGGGAGTTGGAAAATCTGGAGAGGCTGTGTGACTCTCACAGTGAAGCAGAAGATGGGATCCCCTGTGGGTTTGCTATTGTCTGAGAAAGAAATTCTGGAGGGACGGAGGGAGGGGCAGGAAGCTGAGGAAGAGAATCAGTTGGACTAGATGACCCTTGGGGTCCCTTCCAACTCTACAATTCTACGATCCCTTGAATGTGTTTAAATAGCTACAGTTAAGTCTTTTTACAGACTATACATGATCTACACACAGGAAAGTAAGGAGGGTGTGAGCATTTTTCCTGCCAGAGGCAGTTCCCGGGCAAGCTGTGGTCAGTCCGGCTGCATTAGGATTGCAATGGAAGGGCACTTTCTACTTTAGACTGGAAGAGATGCTCATTTTCCGTTTGGTCATAAAGTCGTAATACTTCTTAGGATTCCTATGTTTTCAAATGATATATTGCCTAATTTTTATGCTCTTGACCCAGGTGACAGTAAGCCTAGTTTCGGCTCTGCTGAATATACTAGCTCAACTCCTGTCCCTGGGAGTTGTGTGTTAAGCAGGCATATAGGGATGGGGATAATTTCTATTAATTTCACTTTTAAAGGCAAACCTATCTAATTTGCACTTTCTGAAACTATACAGTACATGAACCAAAGCAAAGCTGTCCTTCAAAATGTGCACTTCTCTGAATTTTGCAGTGCAGTTCTCCTGCCAAGCAATTCACACAAAAATGCATGTACTGGGGTGAAGTGTGCCTAAAAATGCATATATTCGTGAAAATGGAATTCAGATAAGCTTTGCATTAGATAAAACTGGTTTGTGAAAATGTGTGTATTAAACAAAATTGCATACAGAAATGTGCGTATTAGGAGAAATTTGCACTCAATGATGAATTTGCAAGAGGGCTTTAAAAATAATAATAATCACAAACTCATATACAAATACAGACAACTGAATTTATGAGTGGAAAAATAGAGAAATCAAAATGGACAGATTTGCCCATCCCTGCACACACACATGCACATAAACACACACACACACACACACACACACACGCTGGTAGAGCTCCCGCATGAAATGGCAAGGGTGTCAGACCTCAGTCAGCCTTTGCTTTGTAATATTATGACCATTCTGTCTCCTGCTTTGCTCTTTCTATGCAGCCTGCTAAACATTCTTGCAAAGCGAAAGCCGTCCCATGAACCTAGTGGTCTTCCACCTGCTATAAGCCTCATGTTCTCATGCAAAGCCAGCAGAGATGGCACCAGGCTGGAGGCCTGAGATATGCCACCTTCCTGATAATGCCTTTTATTGGACTAAGTGACACATAGGTTTTAGGGGATAGAGAATCCTCTTCTCGGCTCATCCTCATGCAGGATTTCCACACCCCTCCAGGCTCCTTGTCAGTGTTCTCCGCCCCCCTCCCCGTATCCTCCGAGGCTTACTACCTCCCTACAAGGAACTGCGTGGTGGGGATTGAACAGAGAGCCTACCCCCTGTTTGCTGCTAAGGAAGATTAGGCAGCCTTTGAATAAGCTGCATGGAAGACTGGCTGCAAATGGCTCAGACAGGGGCTAATCAGAAAATTAGCAAGCAGGCAAAGCAATCTCATTGTTGGGGACACATTTCCCAACCTCCTATTTGCTTTGCTCCATCTGAGCCTATTCTGCAGGCCACATTGGCCAAGCGTTCCATCCACTTTTACCTGGGAGAACCTCTTTCCCCTGGGCTCAGCCCAGACCACATAAATGCAGCAGCAGTGGCAGAAGTGCCCAGCGCTCGTGCGGCACGCAGAGTCCTCTCCCTGTGGCTGCTTTTGGGGGTCCTCACCCACTCACTCCAGGGACACAGGGGCTCAAGAGCCACAGCAACATGTGCTTCCTCAACGTCGTGCTGCAGTGCCTGAGCTACACAGAACTGCTCGTCTTTCTTTCTCTTTCTTTTGAAATTTTGCACCGCCACTCAAATTTGCACCCGGAGCAGCAGCCCCTCAAGAGTCTCTTTTAGGTTGGGAAAAGGTGCCAGGGGTAGGGAGAGAGGAAAATACTTATTCATTTATTTCATAATATTGATATTCCTCTTGATTGGAAAGCAGTTTACAAAAAGGTAAAACAAGAAATCTGAGAAAAAAATCACCACCAAACTTTACAGAATAATAATGTAACAACAACAACAACAACTTATTACTTATACCCCACACGTCTGGCCAGGCCTCCCCAACCACTCTGGGTGGCTCCCAACAAAATGTTGAAAACACGATAAAACACCAAACATTAAAAACTTCCCTAAATAGGGTTGCCTTCAGATGTCTTCTAAAAGGCAGGTAGTTGCTTATTTCCTTGCCATCTGATGGGAGGACATTCCACAGGGCAGGCACTACCACCAAGAAGGCCCTCTGCCTGGTTCCCTGTAGCTTCACTTATCGCAGGGAGGGAACCGCCAGAAGGCCCTCAGAGCTGGACATCAATGTCCAGGCTGAACAATGGGTGTGGAGATGCTCCTTCAGGTCTACTGGACTGAGGCTGTTTAGGGCTTTAAAGGTCAGCACCAACACTTTGAATTGTGCTCAGAAATGTACTGGGAGCCAATGTAGGTCTTTCAGGACCGGTGTTAAATGGTCTCAGTAGCCATTCCCAGTCACCAGTCTAGCATTTAACAAAAGTTAAAATACTAAAACGGATTGAAATGATCTCAGCCTTTCTAAGCATCTGAGAAAGTAAGCACTGTCTGTTCCCCGCTTCCTGCCATTGTTAGTTTCCTTCCCCACAGGCTGGGAAGAAGGGGGAGGAGGGGAGACAGTGTGGTGAGGGGCTGGGGGGCACCCTGGTGGCATCTTGCCTCCCAGATTTGGCTCAGGAGCGGATGGCAGGAGGTGTACCATTCCCACTGAGATCTCTCTGCCACTTACTCACCCCTGTCTGATTGATTTGCAGCAAGTCCTCTGTGCCACTTAATCCTGGCAGCACCAGTGGGTTCATATACACTCCTCTCCTGCTGTCAGGCAGGAAGGGAGGCGGTCCTTTCTGGCATCCTGTCAGAAATGGAGGGGCCTGTGTGAATAAGGAGGCATCAGGACGGAAAGGAAAAGCCTTGCAGAAGGCAATTTCCCCCTTGATGGCACCAGGCCCTTGTGCAGGCACCAAGGAAGGTCTCTGATGGGCACACAGGTACCATGTTGCTTATAATGGCAGGGCAGTCCCTGCTCCAGTGCCAACTCTGCAGGGTATCTTACCAGCACCAGGGTCCCGTCCTCTCTCTGCTGCTGCTTCGGTGTCACCCAGGGCAAGGGGCATGGGAGTCCCATGGCCTTTCGGTGCTCTCTTTGGATGCCAAGTCTTGCCAACTCTCCCAGCACTTTAACAACCAGTAGCAGAGTCCTAGCAGCCTAAGCCACAAGGGAGGTTAACCAGCCCTTGAGCATGTGCAGAAACCCACACAGCCCAGAGAAACAATCAAGTGGATTATTCAAAAGGACAGAGTTTATGTAAAAAGGGAGGGAGGGAGAGAAATAGCAAGTAAACAGCTAAAAATTGAAACTAAGCACTGCACAAAAATATTGGTCTGACTAAATGTGTACTGATTCAAACTAACATTGCAAGTCTCGGAACCGTCACCTCTGATGCTGGCAGCTTCAGGCATCAGTTGCAGGCTGGGGAAATCAAGAGGAGCAAAGGACAGCATGAGACTATCTTAATTTCAGGGCCATGGGTTTGAGTCCCATGGTGGGCAAAAGGATTCCTACATTGCAGGGGGTTGGACTAGATGACCCTTGTAGTCCCTATGATTCTATGAAAGGGCCATTTTGCAGCAGCCCACTTTTAAGGTTTTGGATGCACGCTGCCTTAAGAGACTGCAGTTCGTTTCCTGCCAATCATGTCTCCTTTGGGGCAAAGGGGAAGGTGGTTGACACCTCCTGGGGAGCTATTGCTGGTGGAAATTGCCACTGGGATGCCTCTAACTCCTTACAAGACAGGATTTTACTAGGAACATGTGTAAGGAGTGTCTCTTCTTGACTAAAGCATAATGGAGGGCAGGGTAATCTTAAAATAACAGACTGGGGGTAGTATAACTGTGCCACATTGGTGATCCCTGCGCTAGAGCAATCAAACCAGTTTCAGGCCCAAAACTGGGCTCAAAACTTGTCATGGTCCTGAGCAGCAGTCAGGATTTGGACATAGGAAGGGACAAGCCAGTTGAGTCTGTCTTGCCCACATCACCAACAGAGCTGCCCTTGACCTTGATCCTGAGACTGGCACAGAGCATGAGAGATGTCCCTTTAAGGATCTCCACCCCTCAGCCTTTATGCAAAGGACGAAAACGAACATATGGCTTCCAGCCAACTACAAGGAGTGCTTTCCACAATTTGTGGCTCAACTAAAATGTCGTTTCAGAAAACCACATGTTCCTTTCAGTAGTAACTACCAGAGCCAGGTGAAGAGCTGGCTTCTTGATTTCCACTTCAGGCACAGATTTGGCATTTTATGGAGCTGTAGGGGGAGAGGTGGTGTGTCCCATTTGGTCATCACCTCTAAGCAAAGCCCTCAAAGGAGGCAAGGTGTTCCCTGTCTTCCCCAATGGAGCAAGGAGACTCAGGGCCAGTTCAGTTGCTGGAACACGGCTAAGTGGTTGGGCTGAGCACCTCCCCACTAGCAGTGCTCACTGGTTCTGCTGGTGGCAACCAGGAATAATTTCTATTTTAAAAAAAGTTATTTTGATCCCCCTGT